TGGTATAGATGTACATTTGTATATATTTGTGTTATGCACAGATACGTGTATATGTAGTGCACGGCATGCAAGCTGAAGATATATGTAAATAGATACAAACTCAGGCGTCATGTCAAGTGTGTGTATAACTGTTGGATATTATGATATAGATATTCAAGAATATGAAATTCCATGGAATTTCTTCTTATCGTTGAGAATACCGCTGTGGTGGTAGTAAACGTTGTGTACATGCATGTGAATCCACGTAGGTCGCGTTGCAGAACACAATATAGTTGCACGACAAATAAAATTTATTGGATAGATATAAATAAGCAGATCCATTCAATATAGTCAAAAGTGGGACTTTCACGCGAGTGCGTAAGTGTCGTGTTGCCGTATCAATTTTTCATGCGCATAGATGACAATCAGTACAACTTTTCAGTTCTGCGGAAATCAGCTGCACATCAATTAAGATGAGACTGAGTGCAGCGATATATCAGGGTTTTGAGCGTGGAGGACGTACGTAATCAGGCACTCGACACCGACTCGCCGCTCACTGCACGATCATGGAACGCTTTCTTTTGTCTTTTTATACCTAATTTACTTTATCTGTTTAAACTCCTAACGCTAAACAACACCCCCAGCTGTTCCTGTTAACGTACTATGCTGGACCGACTTACACTATTTTCAACTCAGGGGGCAAAGAAAGGCGCAACGTATGCGCAAGAAAATCCCGATCAGGTGAAAAAAGGGTACAGCAAAGTTAGAGAGCACGATGATGACATCAAGAAAGGTACGTATCCCTTTTAACTCCTACGCATCTACTCGCATCTTATTAGTATGTATGTAGCAATTTGGTATGTTGGAGAAGCTTCTCCATGATATTCATATCATATCTTTGCGTATTATATTGCTGCCAATGGTTAGCACGTCGTCCGGCCGGATCGATGCTTCTACTATGAGCTGCCGTGAAGAAATCCTATTGTTTGTCGGCGTACAATTAGCCAATTCGCCAGCCATTGTTGTTAGACTTTTTTTTGGTCTCGATAGTACCTCACCATCTTATCATTGTATGCCACGAAGTACATACGATGCTCATGGTATACTACCAGACACTTGGATTGGTAACTGTGCATCTCACCAATCGCCAAGTTTGAAGCTAGACTCGATCCCCAAATGTATGCTACCATCATATCAGGTTATAGTAAGGCCCGAGAGCACGATGAGGATATAAAAAAAGGCTACAACCATGCCAGAGACAATCCAGATCAAGTGAAGAAGGGCGTTGACTTTGCGCAATCGCACCAAAAAGAGGTCAGTGGGTGTTGTAGTCTTAGGTGTAAAAGGGATTCGAGTTAACATGGATCTATACTGTGAGAGATGAGATTTAAAGACTTGTAGAGTAAACCAGATCCAGGGGAACGCTGCCTTGCACATTCGCATTAGAGATAGGTTAGTAGGTGTTATAATCCAAGCTACTGATGGTTGAGGGCTGAAAAAGTTGTTGTTTGCTAGCCAGACCTAGGCTGCCTGCAGAGTATGAGCCATGCGGCAGGGGTGTGTGAGTGTGTGCGTAAGTGTGTTTTTAACTTTCGATTTGAATACGTCGTGCTGCCTATCGTTTTTACCTCCTTCGTATTTGTCGCTCAGTTTTCACATTTGTCCTTTCACACTGATGCATATGTTCCGCACTATTCTTCTTTATATGTTCAGACTAAGCAAGGATACAATTACGCGAGGGAGAATCCCGATCAGGTGTGTCGACATGTTTATCCTATATATTTGCCCTTTATTTCCACCCATTCCGAGCAGATTGAGCACATGCACGCCTGTTCGAGCCTTTTCAAGAGGAAAAGATCATTGGGGGTTGGGCGTGAAGGGATGTGCCTGTATACTCGCATTCATAACTATGTGATTGACAATCGACAGCTTAGTAGATTATGCACTAGTGAAATGCACATTTTTGGCACTTAGACTCTGTGAATTCCACTCATTTATAGGTCAAGTCCGGTTACAATTACGCCTCTACACATCAGGACCAGGTAAATGATATAAGGCTTTGGTGAAGGGCTTGTCTGACGTCTCTTTTATATGTGTTCAGGCCCAGGTGTGAACCCTAAGAAAAGTGCTTGAGATTGTTGTTTGTTTACATACTGACAGAAATTTCTGATAAAAGGCACGTCTGACCGACAGTAGACAATCATCCCCCAATAAGAGTATTTGTGTTTAAAGGTGCGTTGGATGTTGCATCTCTTGTAAGCTGCTACTCATTCGATTTTTCATCTATAGATATAGTACCTATATATATATATATACACACACACACACACACACACACACACACACACACACACACACACATATATATATATATATATATATATAGACGTACGTACTACTACTA